TCTACTGCTTGAGCCACACAGTCTATGATCCATGTATGGCCCAAGATGACCAATAACTCTCTGAAACAGCTATATCCATTTACACCCCCTCAGCACAGTGGAGAGTCACTGGTTCCCCCAGCTATCACAGGACTCAGACCACTGTCAAACACATTTTCTGACAATCTGAAAAGTGAAAAGTTTATATCTCAGTGTAGTTTTAGTTTGCATCTGTATTAAGTGAGGAGGGACATCTTTTCTTGTATATAAGAGAGATTTATACTCCTTTTGTGAATGTCTATCACATCTCTCACCCAATTTTTTTCTATTTGTTGTTCTTTTCTGATTTGCTTATAGGCACATTTTAAATTAAAAGATTAATCATTTATAATGTGAGTTTCAAACATTTCCCAATTTGTCACGTCTTTTGTGATTTTGATTTTTTTCACTTAAAAATGTTTACGAGATTCTTTTCCAATTAGCACTAAAAAAAATTAAATCAGCCGGGCGTGGTGGCGCACGCCTTTAATCCCAGCACTTGGGAGGCAGAGGCAGGAGGATCTCTGTGAGTTCAAGGCCAGCCTGGTCTACATAGTGAGTTCCAGGACAGCTGGAGCTACAGGGAGACCCTGCCTCAAAAAGACCAAAAAAAAAATTAAATCAGTTCAAGATCGTGAGTTCCCAGGATGTGGTCTGCAGGTCCCCAGCATCAGAGGTAGCTAGGATGCTTAGTAAACACTTACATTCCTCTTCCCAACCCCAGAATGACCGCACTCTAAATAAATTGCTGATGATTCTCATATGCAGTAACGTTCAGAACCTTGAGATACTTTTGAATCTGGTTTTGTATGCCTGCATCACCTGCCTTTTCCAATACTTTAAGTTCTGATAGTGACTACTTTGCAGTAACAGTTCATCTTTGCTAGCCTAAATCGTACATAAACCAGAATGACTTGGAAAAAACATAAAACGGAAAACCCTATATAACTGTGATATATTTTATCAAGAAGTTTGAGGAAAGCTACCATCCAAGGTAGAGCATACCAGCAAAAGATGGAGAAACAATTGCAGCCATTTAATTTGAAGAATATATTTAAATGCTTCTAAATATTGTTGGTCCAGATTTTAAATTCTTGCCCTGTTTCATGTTAATATTTACATGATTAACATCACTACAAATGAATTCTTCCAGAAAGAAAAATTAATTTCAAAATATATTTCCAAATATATTATTTTCCAAATAAAAGATTCCCTATATACATGGGTTCCAAATGTATGGACCCAACCAACTATAAATCAAAAATATTTAGAGAAAGCATGCACTTGCATCTAGAGTCATTATTCCTATATACCGCCAAACAATGATTATTTACACAGTATATAAACTGTATTAGGTATTGTAAGAAAGCCAAGATGACTTAAAGTATATAGGAACCTTGCCAGAGTGATGCTGTTCTATATCAAACACTGTAGAAATATGCAAACACAGCTTTGAAATTTTTTTGTTTATTATTTTTATTTTATGTGTATGTGTGTATTGCCCGCATGTACGTAAGTGCACCTATGTCGTGCAATGCCCGAGGAGGTCAGAAGAGGCTGTTGGATCCCCTGGGACTGGAGTTATACTTGTTAGTTGCCATGTAGGTGCTGGGATTCGAACCTGGGTCTTCTGCAAGAACAACCAGTGTTCTTAACCACTGAGCCATCTCTCCAGCCCCAACCACAGATTTTTTAAAAATTATATTTGGAGTCCTAGAATTACCAGCCAATGCCAGAATTTCTCCCCCAGGTCGAGAAGCAACCCTGGTAACATTCATAATTATATGGTGTTGTGAGTTTTTGAGGAAGAGCATTCAAAGTGTTTGTTTTCCTGCAGTTTACTTGCTGTTGAATGAGCAAGTAGGGATCCATTGTGATTTGAAGTGCTTCTCTCAATAATTAAAGATATATTTTCTTGAGAAAAAAAAAGGCAACTTGTATTTTCTTGGATGGGGGACTTTTTCTCATGATTTCCATCTCTTTATACAAAATCTAATTAAGAACTAGCTGGAGTCAACTGTCTTGCAAAGAAGTAAAAAGAAAAGAAAAAAAAACTTGACTTATGAATTACTTAAACACAGACCTTTCATTTTGTCACTGGCTTTCCCTGAGTCACATTGAAGTTGCAATCACTTTCTGTTATTAGAAGATTATTGACTTTCTCAAGAAGAAAATATGTAGCTAAATATAGCTAAAGATAGTCACCACAGAGCTATTTTTGATATAAAATGCCTTATAATCTAGACAGGAAATAGTCTTCTAACATATTGCATGTGTATTTTCTGTACTAGCACAATAAAAATTTACTTTTTCAATAGAAAAAGAAATGTTTAAGAGGCTAGAGAGATGGCTGAGAGGTTAAGAGCACTAACTGCACTTGCTGAGGATCTGGGTTCAGTTCCCAGGACCCACATGGCAGCTAATAACCATCCATAACTCTAGTTCCAGGGAATCTGGCACCCTCTTATGGCCTCCATGGGCATTGAATGCATGGGTGCACTTACATACATGAAAGCAAAACATTCATACACAAAAATAAATAAACAAATTTTAAGTGTTTAAAAAAATCAAATTCAAGCCAGGCATGATGGCACACACCTTTAATCCCAGCACTCAGGAGGCAGAGCCAGGTGGATCTTTGTGAGTTCAAGGCCACCCTGGTCTACGTAGCAAGTTCCAGGTCATCTGAGGCTACAAGGAGACCGTCTCAAAAAGACTGAAAAAAAAAATCAAATTTATCATTTTTTCTCCATTGCTTCTGGGTTTTGCATAATGTTTTAAAAGTCTTTCCCCATATGACTTAAAAATAAGTGTTTCATTTTTTTAAAATAAAATATTTTATTTATTATTTTTATTTTATGTACTCAGGTGCATTGTTTGCATGTATGTAAGTGCAACTGTGTTGTGCAATGCCCACAGAGGTCAGAAGAGGGCATCAGATTCCCTGAAACTGGAGTTATGAATGGTTGTTAGCTGCCATATGGGTGCTGGAATCGAACCCAGGTCCTCTGCAAGAGCAGTCAGTGCTCTTAAGCACTGAGCCATCTCTCCAGCCCCCAAATAAGTGTTTCATCCTCTCTTCTAGAACTTTTAGAATTTAATCTTTTTTATCCATCTGAAATTTATTTATGCAGTATATGGTAGGAAGTCAACTTTATTTTGGCAAGCTAATAGCCCCAAACCATTTACTAATGAATCTTTTTTTTTTCTTTCCTGATTCAAAGTATAACATTAAACATATACTTAATGGCTACATTTTTTAAGTTATAGTGATATCAAATGAGGTTTTAATATCTAGGGAGCCTGGCCATACATCATTACTGCTTTAGAAATTTCTTTTCCATTCTTAGAATCAGTTTATCTGGTTTCAAAGAAAAACCTTTTTGATGTTTTTGCTGGAGGATACAGTAACCTTAAGATCAGCTTGGGAAATCTGGCACCTTTGTGATGTTCAGCATCCTATTAAAGTTTATGACCTACTGTAAAAATATTTTTATTTATTATTTTTTTACATGTATGAGTGTATTGCCTGCATGTGTGTAAGCATATGTGTGTTGTGCAATGCCCATGGAGGTCAGAAGAGGGCATCACATCCCCTGGAATTGGAGTTTCAGACAATTGTTAGTGGCCATGTAAGTGCTAGAAATAAAACCTGGGTCCTCTGCAAGAGCAGTCAGTGCTCTTAACCACAGAGCCATCTCTCCAGCCCCGTGACCTATGTTTTATTTGTTCAAGTCTTATTTTTGCCCCTCAACAGCTTCTTAGTAGTTTTCCTGACAGCTCTTGTACATTTCTTAGGTTAATTTCTAAATATTTCATCTTGGATTATGGTTAGCTGTGAGTTAGAGCTTTAGCTGCATTTTCTAACTGGTTTTTGACTATTATAATGGCTTCTAAAATTTTGGTGCTAGTCAGCTGTTAGCCACTCTTTATCATCATTTTTAGATTCCTGTTTTCTAGGTAAAATTCAAATAATGAAAAATTAACTTCTTCAATTCTTATGAAAAAAACCCCTCTCATTTGGGAGGTAGGAGGCAGCAGGTTCTTTTGGTATTTTTACATCATAAGATTATTAAAGTAGGTAATAGTTAAAAGTTTTAAAAGCATTAAAGGGTAAAGAGTAGAACCTTTTCACCCCAGCTTTCCTGTCCTGAGGAGCCAGTGCTTTTGTCTGTTTTGTGTCTTGATAAAGGCATTCTGCACAAGCAGCCCCTGAATGTGCTTCTGGTGGCACACTCGAAAGCCCAGGCAAAGGTGCCCAGAAAGTCAAGAGGCCCAAGTAGGGAATCCTCTCCTGTGTCTTTATCCTTAATGACTAAATAAGGAGAAATGGAAAAAACCAAAGCTGAAAACTTCTGGATGGGTGGCCCAGAGCAAGCTACCTGGAAGACCTGGGGCCCTAGCTTCTGCTTTTCCTTTTGCAACAAGCTCTACTTGTTTATCTCTCTCAAACAGATGCATTACAGACATACATGTTTTCTTTCTATTATCATATCAACCCCTAAGCATCTAACAACTGGCAGCTTACAGTATTTAGGGCCTAAGATTTGGAGTTGGATGTGGGTCTCCTGTTTGAAGCATCACTTGTTCTAGAGTTGTCCAGATAACATCTCTGAGGGGCTCTTGATGTCACTGAAGATTTGGGCTTTGAGTTTTCTTCAGGGATTTCTCAGCTGGAAGATCTTCCCTGGCATCTCACTTCAGCCTGACAGTCAGAACCCTGCCTTGGTCTCCTGGCTCAGAGATAGAATAAGAAAAAGGGTCACTCCCAGCAGCTGGTCTAGAAGATAGCAGCAGGGTGTAGGAGAGAGGATGTCCCAGCTCTCCCAGGAGTGGCGTGAAACTTGTTATTTACAGACTTTTAAGCCAAAAGAAGTATTCAGTTGTTTCATGTCTGAAGATATATTTGGAGAGGGAGTCCAGAGACAACAGTTCAAAGCAAGCATTTCTTATGCTCAAGTGGATTAGAGTAGCCTGCAGCCATGGGACAAGGTGAGCCAAGCCAGCTCTTCACAAGGCTTCCTGGGCTGTGTTTTCACTAAAGGAAGTAGGATGGTGATGGAGATGATGGTGGTGTGGGTGGTAAGTGGGTAAGAGGGAGGTGATGGCGGTGTGGGTGTGGAGTGGGGATAAGTGGGTAATGGGGAAGGAGGTGTATGGAGTGAGGGAGTAAGTGGGTGCTGTGGAGGGAGGTGATGGTGGTATGGGTGTGGAGTGGGGGTAAGTGGGTGCTGTGGAGGGAGGTGATGGTGGTATATGTGGGTGTGGAGTGGGGATAAGAGGGTGCTGGGGAAGGAGATGTATAGAGTGAGGGAGTAAGTGGGTGCTGGGGAGGAAGGTGATGGCAGTGTGGGTGTGGAGTGGAGGTGTATGCTGGGGAAGGAGGCAATGGTGGTGTGGGTATGGGTAGGTGGTTGTACGGCAGTCAAGAGTTGCAATGATGGTGGTGGCATGGTGATTGTGGCTTTCAGGGATTTTTATTATTTCAGGCTCATCATCTAAGTGTGCTGGGCTGTGATACAAATAAGAAACACCTGAAAAGCATGAGGATGTCATTGACTCAAAGTCTAATGGACGAGAAGGGGCGGTAGGAGTCAGAGAACACAACCAAAAGGGGCAAGGGCAGTCATAAAGCATAAAACCAAGCAGACTGGGAGGATGCAGAAACTCTGGGGGCCTCCACTGGGTCTGTCAGCATAGGTGAAGGTCTGAGATTCCAGGTACTTCTGAGAAGCCCTGACTCGATGTTCTCATCCTATCATTGAGAGAGCAAACACCAATTGGGAAAATGTGTTTGGAACACTTCTGGGCAGAGGATCCAGGCATGAAATAAACACAGTTCCTCAGGAAGCTTACAGAAAGGGGGTGAGTGGAGAGCTAAGCAGGTGATGCCTATAAAGCAGGTGAGTGATGAAGAGAGGGGAGCAAAGTACTACTATGGGAGTGCAGAGGACCAATCGCCTCCTGAAGGAGCAGTGAGGGCTTTAGAGGTAACGCCTGGATACTGAAGGGAGTAGGTGTCTTCCAGGTGAGAGGACACAGAAGAAGCCTTCCAGACAAATGAATTCTGAAGAGCAGCTCTTTCTGTGACACTGTGGTTACTGTGTGGGCTCAGTACACCAGGACTCAAATCATGTGATGATTCACCCTTCCACCACCCAGTCCAGCTGGACAAGCTGTAGAAAGGAATCATTGCTAGTTTCTGGCTGCTGCTGCAGCTCACTTTATAAATCCCAGCCTGGCTGTGGCTATTTTATCAACCAGCAAAACCTGAACAGCCAACCCACTGGTGGGTAAGAGGGAGACAGGGCACAAAGGACACCCAGAAGCACCAGGACTAGATGTGCAGGGAGGGTTCACCCATCTTCATATTCAACACCATCAGTTTTTCCCCAGTATTATGTCATTATATAATCATATATATATATATCATTGTATCAGCTCCATCGCAATAACAGGAAAAGTAGAGAAGGTGAGCTATTTTCCTTGTTTCTCCATTCTTTCCCTCTGTTCTTGAGCACTAAGTAGGAGGGTTGGGAGCTGAAGGAGATATGATGGGAGTACTCTGCACTTGTCATACAGTGTCCTAGAGCCTAAAGGACTTTGTGTCAGGCTTCAGATCACTTCCCTGGTGTAGGTTAGTTCCTATTCTATACCTGCAAGCAAAAATCACAACTTCTCCCTCCCAGCTGCTGAGTCCATGAAAAACCTGCAGGCTGGGGCTGGAGTGATGGCTCAGTAGTTAGGAGTATTTGTTGCTGTTCTTCCAGAGAACCCAACTGATTCCCAGCACCCACATCAGATGCCTCACAACTACCTGTAACTCCAGATCAAGGGGATTTTATGCCTGATAGTCTGTCATAATAAAATGGCAAAACTGACTCCATTTTGTTCTGGCTGACTTTTCTTTTACCCTGTGTTTTTGCCCAGCCATTGCCACTGCAGCCCACCAGGCAGAATGTCTCATGCAGGTAGTATCATGGAGTATATTGTTTCTGCAATACTGGGAAACTTACAAGTAGCACCTTAGCAGGTCCAGATAAGTACATCCTCCATCCCAGGTATTTCTACATCTCCATGAAGCACATTGTTTCTACAGTTCTGAGAAATTTGTTTTTTCCTAACTGAAACTTTTTGTCAACTGAAAACCTCTTTGTTAACTGACCTGCCCCTGATCTGGTATAACTATGGTGATCTGATATAACTATGGTCATTGGCTTTGCCCCTGGCATGATGTAATTATGGTTTTAAGTTTCATAAACACTGCCATGCTTCTCCTTGGGGTCAAGAGTTCTTTGGGGCATTAGCCCCCTCTATGACCACCAGCTATTAATAAAGGACTCCTAATCTGATCATCACTATGTGGCGTCCCTCTGTGCTTCTCACTATTACAATAATACATTACAGGTGCCATGAGATTGATGAGCATTTAGGTCAAAGAACATACATTCTCTCAGGTGAATTGTTTCTACTCCTTTTTTTTTTTTTTTTTTTTTTGGTCTTTTTGAGTCAGGGTCTCTCTGTAGCCCCAGCTGTCCTGGCACTCACTATGTAGATCAGGTGGCCTTGAACTCACAGATATCTGCCTGCCTCTGCCTCCTGAGTGCTGGGATTAAAGGTGTGTGCCACCATACCCGGCTGAATTGTTTCTACTCTTAATCCCAAGTTTTTCATCTATAAGAGAAGAGAATTTGACTCAGTGATCACAAAATGGGTTCTAGATATTATGACTTTGTTCTTTAAAAGAATGTATGTGGGGCTAGGCAATGTAGCTGAGTTGGTAAAGTGTTTGCCTAGTATGCAGGAGCCCTGGGTTCAATTCCCGCACTACCTAAAACTGGGCATGGTAGTACACACCTGTAATCTCAGCACTTGGAAGGTGGAGGCAAGAGGATCAGAGGTCATCCTCAAACTCAAGGTCATCCTCAGCTATACAGCAAGTTTGAGGTTAGCCTGGGTACATGAGGCCCTGTCTCAAAAAAAACCAGGGGTGTGCAAGATTCTGGATTTTATTCATTGTTCAGATTTGGAACCTGAAAAGGATGTTAACGATAAGAATACGTATTGTTCCTCTAACAATAACGACAGCAATCCCACTGAATGGACCTTAACACGTGTGCGACATTGTGCTAATGTAAAATAAAACAGGTTGAGAGAGGTTGCCTGCCACAGGTTGCATAGCTAATAAGTTGTATCAAAGATTAGAGCCCTGCTTTTGAAAGGAGCTGTCACTTTTACTAGTATCCATGACTTGCCTCTTCTCCAAAACAGCCCTGGGTATCAAGAGCTGTGACTTTCAAGCAGCCAAAAATAATGAGGAGCATCACACCAGGGACATCAGCTCCCAGCACCTCTTTGTGCGGAGGGGGCAGTCCTTCATCATCACCCTCAACTTCCGTGCCCCAGTCCACACGTTTCTGCCCACTCTGAAGAAAGTGGCCCTCATTGCACAAACTGGTATGTGGGATAGTCCTAGATCATTGGGGGTTTGAGGATCTGGGGGGTTCTCTCTCTAGCAGAGGTCTGAAGGACCAAGGGCCCACACTGCAGCTGGGCCTTAAGAAGTCCTGCTCGCCCAAGGGGCTATTGCGAGAATGCTGTAAGATAATGTGCATGATAAATGATATTTATTACGATTCAGAAGTTCTTCAGCAGAACTGCCACTAAGAGAGTCTTTTGGTTGAAGTTTTGTAGGAAAGGCTAAATGGGGGTCTAATTCCGGCTAAGTATAATATTTAGATGGCACTACTTATTGAAGATGCTTCCTCGTCATCACTCTTAATACATACAGCATAGTGACTGTTTATACAGCAGTCACATTATGTACAGCATCATAAATAATCTAAAGATGATTTAAAGTTGGCAGGAAAATGTAATGCCACGGCATTTTATAAAAGATATTCAAATATTCATAGATTTTTTTTTTGTATGTACAGGAGGTCCTGGACCCAACTGTCCCTGGACACAGAGGGATGGCCGTACCATTATTATGCCCATTTTATAGACTGAAACTTTCATAGATGTAGGTCCACAAGCATGGAGAGACTGTGTTCTCCCATCATCCTTTCCTGTTCTTCATTACTGGGGGAACCTCTTTCTCCTCCAAAACTAATTTGCCCCTCCTCCATCTTTTTACTATCTTGACTTTATTACTCTGAGTTGTGACCAAGATGCACAAATGACCTGTTTATTATTACAATTACAGGAGACCAGCCTTCCAAGACCAACAAAACCAGAGCTATATTTCCAATTTCCTCCCTGGGGGACCAAAAAGGGTGGAGTGCAAGGGTGGAGGAGAGAGGTGCCCAGTACTGGACCATTTCTGTGACCACACCTGCGGATGCTGTCATCGGCTACTATTCACTCCTGCTACGGGTTTCAGGCAGGAGGCAATACACCTTGGGCCAATTCACACTGCTCTTTAATCCCTGGAATAGAGGTAAGTTTGGACCTATGCTAGTCTCCACTGCACAGGGGCTAAGAGACCAGAGCTGGAATGCAGCTCCAACAGGCAGCACCTGCCCCAGAGCCTGTGAGCAGCTCTTTTAAGGGCAACACCAGCATTAAATTCCATCAGGTTCCTTTTCAGCCTCATGGTCCTATCTTGGTATCCCCCTGGCAGAAGCAGCCTGGGGTTTCATATAGAAAGCAAAGACTGGTCTTACCATCAAACTTTGGTGCTGGTTCAGGCTGCTTTGGATTTGTTGAGATGCCATAGAAAAACTGCCATTTACTGTAACAGTATAGAAACAAGGGGCTAGAGAGATGACTCAGTAGTTAAGTGTGCTTGCTGCACAATCATGAGGACAGGAGCACAGATCCCAGCTCCCATACAACAAGTCAGATATCCCACAAATGCCTGTTATGTTAGGGATTGGATGCCCTCTTCTGGCTTCTATAATGCACAGGTACGCACATGTACACAGACACAGACACACACCCAGACACACAGATACACACACACACACACACACACACACACACACAAATAAAATATTTTCTTAATTAGAAAGAAACAGTACAGAAATGAGAGCTGGAAAGAAATATAAGAATGAGGTAGCCCAAAGGATGGGCTTCTCTGCCCCTTCCCAGTCTCCCCAATCTGTCTCCAGGATATAATCAGGTTTTGTGGGGTCAGAAGCTTATCTAATTTAGGGGACATTTTAAAAAACATTTTATTTATTATTTTTATTTTATGTGTATTTATTTTATTTTATGCGTGTATTGCCTATGTGTAGGTAAGTGCACCTGTGTCATGCAATGCCCACGGAGGACAGAAGAGGCTGTTGGATCTAGGGGACACTTTTTTAGAAAAATTAGAAAAATAACACAAAATCTTGAATTACCAAATTCCTCCACCAATGGGGCCCATGGAAGGCATCCGTATTAGTGATGGTCCCCAACCTCAGCTTCATCAGCTTCACAGGAAACATGCCTGATTTTGTGTCTTTGCTTCTCTCCACTTGTTCATTTTGTTAAGACAGGTCATAGGGTCCTCTCCATACTGACCTGTATCTGATTGGAACCTTATAGTTCAGTTATCCCATGAGTGAACTCCCCTTGGATCATCACCTCCTATGGCCCAACTGATGGCTTCCTCTGGCAAAGTGCAGCCCTGGTTGATGTTGGGCCTATTTCATATAGAAAGGCTGAAAGACATAGTTGGTTCACCTAAACTAGTGCACAATGGGGCATCTTCCTTGCCTTCCCATTCTAAAGATCGAGTCTGTCTTTCCTTTTTAAATCTCCACATTGATCCTACAGACTCTCTGAAGGGTTGATTCTGGACAGTGGAAAAGTTTCTCATGGCTTTCCTGTCCTCATGAAACCAGATATAGGGGTCCTTTCCTTTTCAAGAATTTCACTGATAGCATAAAGGGCCCCTTTATAAGACAGGGCTGGGGCACCAGAGGAAATAATGAGGAAGGAAAAGAATCTCACCAGGTTCCTACAGACCCATGTCTCGACCCAAGTCCCAGATTCTTTCTCCTGGATACCCAAAGCCAGTGGACTCTCTACTTCTCTTGTCCAGGGTGAGAATCTCAGTACCCACCTCCTACTTCAGGTAGTCTTGTCTGTCTTCAGCTCAGTCCCTTTCTTTGTGCTGCAAGGGGACAAGGAGGTGGAAAATAGATGGGAACTTGTGCCCCACGTAATTCTTTGTGGATTCAGGTCCCTTCAGCTAAGGGAGGTCCCGCATTTCTCTACATACTGACAGAACGATCTTCAAGCTATCTTTTCAAAGCTGACATTTCAGTATACCACAGATGACAGATTCAGGGTCCACATCTAGAGTAAGGCCCTGGAAGCCAAAGACCCAACCTTGCTGTTCTAGAACAGTGCTGGTAAGGAGTCCACAGTCTTAATACCACTGCTAGGATTCTTGCTCCATTTGTATGGACTCACCTAGGGAAGGCGTCTATCCCCTCCCACCCACCCACCCCTTCTATGTGTGGAGGGGATCAGGCAGTAGGAGCTCTTCTCTGTTTAAGAGAGCTTCAGAGACTTGGTCATCTGTTTCAGCACACTTGAACTTAGGTTATCCTGGATTCAAAAGGAAACTTGATATCATATAATGGATGTCAAAGCCCTGTTCATAGCCAACAGAGAAGAGGAGAGTGATGATTCCTGTGTTCTTTGTAGAGTCCCACAGATCCTGGGAGAAACACCTCCCTGTAAAGTGGTTTTCAAAGTGTGGTCTAGTTGATTTCCTAGAGAGCATTCAGGATGGATGGTCAGAAGTCAAGGATTCCCTGAATTTATGATTCTGTCATTTTTCAATTCCATATTTTTCCAAGTTTTCTGACTTCTACTACCCTATCCTTCTATTTCTTTGGGTGTCCTTATCCCAACTGGATGCCTGAGAAATTCTGGAGTGCTATAACCCAAAAGCTGTTGGATGGTCTAGAAGTCCTTCAATGGTCCCAGAAACTAGACTAACACACTGCCCCACCACCAGGTCAGAGAGCTAGGATTCAGCAAGCAAAGCTGACCCCCACACTACTCCCAGCTTCCTAAAGTGAGCAATGGCCTCATTAATACCAGAGCTGAGGAGATGGCTCAGTGGTAAAAAAGCATCTGCTCTGCAAGCCTGACAATTTGAGTTCAGATCCCCCAGAACTCACATAAAACCTGGGTACAATGTGCCTACTGGGAGATGGGAGGCAGAAACAGGAAAATCTCCAAGAGCTTGTGGGCCAGATAGCCTAGCTTACACTGTGATAAGGAGACCCTGTCACAAACAAGGCAGAAGGTGAGGATTGATACCCAAACGTCCTCTGACCTGCACTCATGTTCTCTCTCTCTCTCTCTCTCTCTCTCTCTCTCTCTCTCTCTCTCACACACACACACACACACACACACACAAAGATATCCACCTCTTCATGATGCCCAGCTTAACTCTTTGGTGAGGGAATCAGAGGGGCACCAGAAAAAGACTGGTGGTCCTGGACCCACTAGATCTCTCTGGGCAGAAGTAAAATACTCAGATTTCCACATCCCCAACCCCTTTGTCCCTTCCCACCCTGTCTTGCCCAATGCACCTCTTCCCTCTGTTCACTCCAGTTAATCTATACTTAACTGCTGTTTTTTCATTAGTTTTGTCACCCCCCCCCACCCCCCCCAAATACTTTTTTTGCTACAAATTGATCTTTTGAGAAAGACTCTTTTAACAGGTCACCGGGAAGTACCTTTGGATGTCCAATTTCTTTTGGGCCAGTATGGCTCTGATAGCAAACCTCTTCTGGGAACCATTAGGCTTTTAAGGTTGGCTTGTTCTGTCTGCCTGGCTGACCATGAAGGCCACACCCTGACTGACCCAGCGTCTTTGGGCCAGGTCCTAGAGTAGGCAGTGAGAGAACTTCCTCCTTAGTCTTCATTAGGTCCAGAGCTGTAGGGAAGGGCTGAAAGCAAACCTTACCTGGGAAGCCTAGATAGGACAGGTCTGGAACCCCTCAGGCCTTCAACCTCTCCTGTTTCTTGCCAGAGGACGCTGTATTTCTGCAGAATGAGGCTCAGCGCAGGGAGTACTTGTTGAACCAGAATGGCCTTATCTACCTGGGCACAGCGAACTGCATCCAGGAAGAGCCCTGGGACTTTGGTCAGGTAATAGGGAGCTCTAGGAAAGAAGAAGGGTATTAGCTATCTCATAACCTTCAACACGCAGAACAAAGCTGGTAAGTCCAAAAGCCCTTGATCAAAAGGCCATTTCTTTGGCTCATGGTGCCTCTTTTCTTTGGGCCACACTGAACCACCCTCTAAAAATCCATGGCAAGTCTGGCTTCTGTTCAGTCCCCTCTGTCCTTAGAATAGAGACCAATGCCTGGCCTGACACCCAAGGACACTCTGCTTTCCTTACCCCACAGGCCATCCAATGTTCCAGCTCCAAGGGTATATAAGCTGAGTATTCCCTCTGCTTGACTAGCTTCCCTCCCTTCTCCTGGAAAACTACTTCCCCAGTCCCCAAAGAGGCCATGTCACTATGATCTAAGATCTGAGGAGATATCTTATAGCCAGGGGTTCTCCAGAGTAGGAACTGCCTTGGAATCTTCCATACCTGGCTCAGTACTGGTAGGAGCATTAGGAGCTCACTAAGTGGGAATGAAATGAATTGAAATGATACAGTACTGATCCTCAAGAGCTCACACCATATTGAGAGAGTCACCCCATAGAACAAAGGACTGGATGCTGGGCACAGGGCCAGGTGATACAGTGGGAAGAGGAAAGAGCCAGAACTCCCATGGTGAGCAATGAGGCAGGAGAAGACGTAAGTTGGGGAAAAAGACAAGGCAACAAAACTGTCCTGTGGGACAGTGCCTGGCCTGGAGACCCTTCATCTGGCCCTGTGTGGTCCCTATAGTTTGAGAGAAACATCATGGACCTCAGCCTGGACTTACTGAGTGTGGACAAGCATGTAGAAGAGTGGAACCAGCCTGTGCATGTGGCCTGCGTGTTGGGCACCTTGGTGAGTATGAAAGTGGGGGCTGGGAGGGAGAAGAGATGGAGCAAGAGACTTTGGATGGAGGGAGTCCTACTTCTATGGCTCTGGAAGTCCTCAAATCACAAATGATTTCAGGGTGTGGGGACAGTTTCCAGAGAAGACGCTGATGGGAGATAAGAAGAAGACAACAAGAAAAAGAGATAGGTTCAGCCCAGTCAAAGCCAGCTGAGGGTGAAAACTGGCCTTCCTCCTCCCAGTCCTGACCTAGAAGCTTAGATCCCTTGGAGGGAAGGCATAAGGCCTGTCTTTCTCCATACTGATATGGTAATCAAAGGGACTTTAAAATTTTATAAATGTTCCTAAGAATATGCAAACTACAAGGTAGCTTAGCATTTTCCCTTACCCCTAAAAGTCCTCTCAGAGGAACAATGTGTTCATTTTCTCTCATGCCTCTGTCTCCCTCCAAGGACCATAGTGAGGTTTGAGGCCAGTCTGTAAGAAGGAAGAAGCTTGAGCAATGTGGCCTCCGGGCCTATGACAAACAACTTTGAAGTCAGAGCAGAGGATGCTGAGGGCCAGTAGAACCAGACCCCAGTGTGGGACAGCTTTCATGCTCTACTCTGTGGGTGGAGCTGGATGGCTGATTTAGGAGGAGTCCTGGGCCTGGCTCTGAGATTACAAAGTGGTGGACATAGGCAGGAGCCCAAGAACATGCAGGTTTAACAAGCCCCAGGTGGTTCAGTTCCATGCTTGGGGAACTACAACTGAGCCCTCCTTATTGCTGTCTGGAAGATGTTCTGGCACAGCACCCCCGACTAACAATCATGTCTGCCAAAACAGCTGCATGCTCTCAAGAAGAAGAGTATCCTGCCCACCCCACAGTCCCAAGATACCCAGGAAGAGACCTTGTTGTACAAGCGACGGGGCAGTGCACCTATCCTGCGACAGTGGCTCACTGGCCAAGGGCGACCCGTGTATGAGGGTCAGGCCTGGGTGCTGGCTGCTGTTGCTTGCACAGGTACAGGATAGGTGATGCACAGGTCAGTCTTTTGGGCTGCTGTAGCATCTGGCCTGCATCTTGAGTTGTCCTTTGGCCTCCTGTGAGGGAAGCAGGCACTGCCTCTGCTCCACAGCCTTCCCTACCTTTGCCACACTGACAACTGGTTTCCCCACACCTTCTAAGAAACCAACTTTCTGACCCAGCAGCTGTTTCTCTTCCCTTTCCACAAGGCCAAGCCTGTTTACAAACTCTGCTCCCAAACTCACTTTCACCCAGAAACGTTCCCTACCATCCCCACAGAGTGATGTCCCTTCATCTTAAACATCCACCCTGTGCTGCTTTCCCATACTGTATAACCTGCACTTCTTTAACCACCTCCATCTGCCCTGCTCTTGGGCATCAGTTTTGATTTCTCTGCCTTGGCTCTTCCTCCTTCCATGATGTCACCTGCCATTTAAGACATATCTTATCCAGAAGACACAAGTTCTAGCCTTACCAACCTGTACTCCCTGGTCCCAGCCTGGGGCTTCTCTTTCCTTCTGACATTCTGCGTCTCTTCCATGCAGTGCTACGCTGCCTGGGAATCCCAGCCCGGGTTGTGACCACATTTGCCTCTGCCCAGGGCACTGCTGGAGGCCTGCTGGTGAATGAGTACTACAACGAGGAGGGACTCCAGAATGGAGAAAGCCAGAGAGGCCGCATCTGGTGAGAAGCCCAAAGGAGGTGGGGTTCCAGGAAGAGCTCCAAACAAGTTCCATGTGCATCCCCACACTGGGAGGGCCCTGGGCTAAGAGCAAGTCTTCTAGACTCTTAAAGGCAGGCTGTGGTGGTCAATGGTGGGGTGCACACCCTTCCCTAAGAGTGTTGCATCTTCCAATCTCCATGGTAACAACTCGGCTAAGCAGCATTTCTATCTAGAATGTCTTCTACACTCCTTTTTTCCCCCTTGAAATTTTGTCTTTGCTGCTTTTAGGATCTTCCAGACATCTGTAGAATGCTGGATGAACAGGCCTGATTTGTCCCAGGATTATGATGGATGGCAGATTCTGTACTCAAGAGCTTCAAGTAGAGGTGGAGGTAAAAGCCTAGGGGTGGGTTCAGGACCAGCCAGAGCTGCAAGAGCTGAAGGGGTCCATTGGAGAGGATCTAGAAGCATGTGGTCCAAATGGATCTTCATCCTCTAAAATAGAAGAGAAACACAAGGAAGGATGGTGGTCAAATGATGCCAGCAGGCTCAAGGGAGTAAAGGTCAGCCACCCCATCACAGACTACACAGAGATCAAGTCCATTTAGAGCAAAGGGCAAGGAAGCGCCATCTCAATGAAGGGCAAGGGTCTTAAGATGGCTGGTGGATATTCTGGGGCAGGGCCTGGCAGAGTAGGTAGGACTTCCAAGGATCTGGATGTGGACAGAGTAGGTCACAGAATAGGCTCAAGCCCAGAGAAGGAAACTTCAGCAGTCAAAAAAGGATGGTGCTTCCTTGCCCTGGAACAGAACTGTCGCAAAGCATGAGTTCACTGAAGTGGACAAGAAAGGTGGCCATTCTTGTCATATCAGTATCAAAGCTATGTGCTAATTATGCTCCTCTGTCCAGTTTCTGCCATAGGCCAGGACCTAAAAGCATTTATATCACCTAATTCTGAGTTTTAGCTCTGTGATACTTCCTCAGAAATCCTGCTTAGTTCCTACTTCTGACCTTGATCCTGGAGGAGGGAAAATAATGTATGGTATAAGACTGATGTGATATAGCTCTGAACAGAGGTCCAGGAGTGGCTCCTTTGCTCATCTACCTTTCTCTCCCTCAGTCCTGGGATCCTGTGATCTGATCCCAGTCAGAGCAGTCAAGGAGGGGGATCTGCAGCTGGCCCCTGCAGTATCAGACCTCTTTGCTGCAGTAAACGCTTCATGTGTGGTCTGGAAATGCTGTGAGGATGGGAAACTGGAGTTGACCAACTCCAACACAAAGTATGTTGGCAACAACATCAGCACCAAGGGTGTGGGCAGTGACCGCTGTGAGGACATCACTCAGAACTACAAGTATCCTGAAGGTATTGGCCAGCAACGGGAACCAGCCTTTTTAGCACCTGAAACAGCAAGTGAGGGGAAGGGAATGAATCAAGGAGATGCAAGCCAGAAAGAGTCCCAGTCTTTTCCTCCTCAAACAAAACTAGATTTCTCAACCCTGGTTGACACTACTGTCATTTTGGGCCAGACAGCTCTGTGCTGTAGGGGCTGCACACCATAGGATGTTTAGCAGTGTTGTTGGCATCTGTCCATGAGATGTCAGCGCTCTTACCCGAGACATTTCCAAATGTCCTCTGGGGGACAAAATTGCCTCCAGTTGTGAACTGCTGCTATGAAACAAAGCACTAAATATGAAGTCCAGCCCCAGAAGGCTTTCAGTGTTACTCCTTTCTTGCTCTCTGCCAATATCCCCAACTCTTCCTTAATATTAGCACTGCCATCTCTGTATCTGTCCAAATAAGAAGGCTTATAACACCCTGGAGTCTTCCCCTTCACAATACACTGTCCTGGCCTGACCATCTTCTGAGCTATTTTCCATGGCCCAGGGGCTTCCTTACCTCTCGCCTATAAGATTGCAACTCCAGTCTTCCCTTCACAATTCCCTTTCCCATTTCAGTTTCCAGAATGATCTTTCTACGACACAAATAGCCTTATTAAGTCCCCACTCTAGAATATTCCATGGTCCCATTGCCCTTGGAGTAAGTCCAAGTCCCTCACACAAGAAGATTCAACTCCTTGCAAAACTGTCTTTAGTAACCTGACTATGTTGACTTGTCACAAAGCTTGTTCTTCTTGTCAAAGCCTTAGACATTGCCAAAGCTTTTGTGTCTCTGGCATCTGAGCACAAGTGGCAAATACATTTTAATCCTGCACTTTCATCTGAAGGCGCTAAACCTGCTGGATCAGAGCCTGTTCTGTCTCTTCTATTCTCCAGGATCTCTTCAAGAAAAAGAAGTGCTGGAGAGAGTCTGGAAAGAGAAAATGAAACACATGAAAGACAATGGTGTTCGGCCTCCCAGTTGTGAGCCAGCTGATCCTCTATACCTGTTCTTAGAAGCCCCCAGCTCCTTCCCCCTCGGAGGAGATGGCCAGCTCTCAGTGACCCTGGCTAACCCTACAGACCAGGAGAAGGAGGTGCACCTGGCAATTGGGGCCCAGGCTATGTATTACAATGGAGTCCTTGCTGCAGAGCTCTGGAGGCAGAAGCGGTCCTTGAGGCTAAGAGCCAACCAGGGTAACTCTTTATGGCCCCAGCAGACATCTTGCACACACTTGGCTCATAATGGGCTCCGCTAACAGATCTCCAGAGATGGCCTCTTAGGCCCCTGGTGCTCACACTCCCATTCATTCATTCAACACATATATATTGGGCCCAACAGAGGTGAAAAACCAACTGCAATCAGACAAGTAAACAGACTCATCATAGCAATAAAGAGCCATCTGGGAAGATGAACAGAGTGCAGGACAGGAGAGCATCTCTCCCAGGCTAGAGCAGTCTGCACCAAAATGATATCATGTTGTCGTGAATGAATAGGAAAGAGAAGGACAGAAAAATGCACCAGGCAATCCAGACAGAGGCAACATGCACACTGGTCCCTTCTCTTCCCTGAGATACGTGTTTAATTGGTCTTGGATGAGGTCTAGGCACAAGCACTTTTCAGAAGTTCTCTGTGTATTTTAGGGTTAAGATTCCCTGTAGCAGCTTCCCCAAAGCATTCTCAAATTTTGCCACACATTAGAGTCACCTGGGGAAGCTCTGTGCCGGAGCTACATCCCAGGCAATGAAGTCAGAAACGTCATAGCAGACACAAACATCAGAATTTTTTCAAGTCCTGAGGAATTCTAAACAGGCAAGTTTGACAGACATGGAATAGAGCTTGTCTACAGGACTGTAACAGTCTTCTGACTTTCCCGTCTCCAGGCTCAACATCACTGTGCCTTGTCCAAGCATGGTGTGAGCAGTGTAAGAGCTAAACATGGTCCAGACCATGGACAGTCTTGTATGTCATGCTAAGGAGTTTGAGTTTTGTTGTATGGATATGGAGAGTCAGTAAAAAGTTTTAGCCAGTGCTGTCAGTGTGATCAGAATCCATTTTAAAAAAGAAAGAACTTTCAGCAAGATGGAATGGTAGGGCCAGATCAGAGTAGTTATTCTTAACTTTGGCTGCACATTGAATCACCTGGGGAGCTTTAAAAACTACTGACTTGGGTGTGACTTGGCATTGGGATTGTGTTGTAAAGTTCCCCATAGGAGTCAAACATATAGCCAATGTCGAGAACCACTATATTAAAGGAGGAAGGTTTCATAATAATTGATTCCAGAAACAAAAGCTAGGCTAAGCTAGCAGCACTTAGAATTAAGACATATTAAGTAGGGGGTTAGATTGGACTTGTGAATGTGAGCGTCTGCTTCTGGTTTGGGTGAGTCACTAGAGTAGGGAAAAGAGGGAGCAACAGCTTTAGGAAGAAAGATGAATCCAGTAAAGGCATGTTTTGTTTTCAAAAGCCCATGAGGCACCAAGCATCAAGATAGCCAAGAGGCAGCTGGGAACTTAGATGTAATGTTCAAGATATAGCCTGTGCTGGAGAGCACAGGTAGGAATTCCAGCACAGCACAAAGGGGGTGACCGATTGAACATAAATGAACTTACAGGAGTGGAGGACAGTATAGGAAAAGATGAGGAGGTGAGGAGAGAACAGCACTAGCATTTGGTGGACAGTGTCGGGGAGGGGAAGCAGAGAATAAGGGAGAGGAGACATCTAAGCTGGGAGGGGGAGCCCAGCCAGGTCAGCAAAGAGGTCATGTCAGGCTGAAAAGCATCAGTTGTGAACATGGCCTTGCTAAGAAGCAACAGAAAAAGTGGGCTTTCTGGGGTTTAAACTGATTGAGTTGAGGAAGTACACAGTACAGTTCTTTCTGAAACATGATGGGAAAAAGGAAAGGCTAGGTGGATAGTTGGCCAGGGACACTGGAAAGAGAGAAGGTGGTGTGGTGTGTTTTTGTTTGATTTGAAGATGAATCTGCTTATATGCTAAGCCTCAGGAAAGATGGATTATAACTGACAGTGTAATCCCTGGGCAAATAAGCAATCAGAAAATTATAACTCACACTAATTAAACACTTTTTTATTTGCCAAAATGGTGTTAAGTGCTTTGCACACATAATCTCATTAACATCACAACCTTACGTTGTGTGACACTAGTCCTGGGGAGACATGAACAAAAGTCTACTCACCTCAGATAGGGAACTAACAACATACCAAAGTAAAGTTACCACTAAAATTCAACATGGTGAACCAATGAGTTTTATTAGGGTTACTTACAGGAATGTGGTTGAGGGGTCACTTACAGAAGCAGCAATGACTCAGACTGCTGCATCACCAAAAGCCCACTTTAGCATGGATGACAACAGGAACCTGAGCTTGAAAGATTCCCACTTCACATTTTCTCTAAACAAGAAAGGAGAACCAGAGGATGGGGAAGGGACTATGTAATCACATATTCAGCAGCTACTATGTGGCAAGTTCTGAGAGAAGTACCTCCTTGAAGTGGGCAGAATATAGGAACAATAGGAGCTTACTGTACAACCTGCAGGCAGCTCAGCAGGGTCGGGAGGAGCCTTTGCGGGCAGTTTAGTTGGTCTGCTGAAGCTTTGCCTGGTCTGAAAGTGTCCCTCAACAGTCCTTAGGGCTTTTACATGCTTGGGGAGGGAGGGCTTAGTACATCTGGTCAGTTTCAGGGACCTTCTGAAGTTATTGAGTTGTTTACTTCCTGAACTTAATGAGTTTCCTTGCAGGATGGAATGTTTCACCTCTCCCTAGAACATTGTGTTGACCAAGCTTCCTTCCAGTTGGAGGAAATCTTGGAGGAAATTGTTACACAACACCTTGTGAGGGAGAACCATTTAGTCCCACTTTACAGAAGAGGAAGTTGAGACACAGAGAAGTTGCCCCAGGGTACGCAAGTCATGAGTGACCTATCAGAATGGAGCATAGATTTCAAAAGCACAGGACTTAACTTGGGGGCAGTATATCCCCCTCATAGAGAGAAGTGACAGGAAGGGTAATGTCTATGTTTGAAGGCTGACAACGGGAACCTGAGCTTGAAAGATTCCCACTTCACATTTTCTCTAAACAAGGAAGGAGAACCAGAGGATGGGGAAGGGACTATGTAATCATATATTCAGCAGCTACTATGTGGCAAGTTCTGAGAGAAGTACCTCCTTGAAGTGGGCAGAATATAGGAACAATAGGAGAGAAAGAAAGTGACCACATCTGACCTCAAGACTAGACTGAGTTTATTAGCACAGGGAGGGACAACAGCCTTCCTGCGGGAAGGAGGCTGCGCAAGGGGCATAGGGACTGGTCAGAGTCTTATACAGAGGCAGCAGCTACAAGGGGACTTGAGGGGGGGACAGATGCTGCAGGGAAGACAGGGACTGCAGGGAACCTTTATTTTCGGTCATTCTTGTGGTTTCTCTTGGGAATCCTTTGTGTGGCCCATCTGGACACCCAGCCAGGGGGAAAGAGAAGTCCCCAATATAGAACTGGATGATTGGGGGACCGGATGTTCTGTGGTCAGGGGTCCTATGTTGTGCCAATTTCCTTCAGACCATCCTACTGTTATTAGGCAAGGACACCAGCCTTGCTCTAGTTCACAGGAACTTTTCTATAACCCAGTGTGGTGGCTTGCCAAGAGTGTTAGTAAAGGTGGTAATGAGGTTGGGGTCTTGGATTTGTGCAAAATTTACAGTCAGTGTAAGGAATGAGGCATCTTTCTGGCCTAAGCCCTTCACACTGTGTGTCGAACTATGACTTGATTCTGGTATGTGCACACTTACCCCTTCATACTGACTTCATGTATTGTATGTTTCAGCTTTAAGAATAACCACCAGCCTGTCCTCCTCCTATTTTGAGCGAACCCCACCAGAGAACAGCTTTCTCAGACTCACAGCAATGGCAACACATTCCGACTCCAGCCTCAGCTGCTTTGCTCAGGAAGACATGGCTATTTGTAGACCACACCTTGCTATCGAGGTAGGCATTGCGTCTTCACTGAACTGCTCTTAGCTGCTACCACTCAGGTCACCCTAGAAAAGGAACCAGAGCCCTCAAGTGTCAGAGCAAATGACTATGCTACATACTGATCAGACTCTGCTAGGTTTGCACGGTTTCCTACATTTACTATAAAGGCTTGAATCTCCTAACTTCTTTAGTTCGTTAAGTAAAAGTTCCTAAAGCTAGGATTGGGCCACTTGCTGCCTCCATAATTAGAAGGATAATAGCCCGTGTTTAATTAGAACTTTATGAATATGCCCAAGTATTTTAATGTCCTTTGACAGTTTCCCACAGGTATATAGCACATTCCATTTGTTCTTGTCCCCTACCCTCTCTTATCTTTCTCCTACCAGTCATCCCCACCTTCTCTCTACAAGTCCCTTTTCCACATTCACATCTTTCTGATTTTTTTTTTGTAACTCATTGATTTTGACCAGGACCATCTGTTGGCCACAGGTTTAGAACTAGGCATTGGAACCTCGTGGGCAGTGACTGTCCCCTCCCCAGATTCCATCAGTATCCAAAAGTTCAGGGGAAAGAAGGTTGGTCCCCATGAGACACTCCTGGATCCATGATTGGCTGTTAGCAGGCCCAGTTTTATGCAGGCCCTGTACTGACAACTGCTGCTGCTGTGAGGTGGTGTTTACAATGGCCGTGCAATACCCTGAAGACACTTCCAGCCAATCCCCATACCTTCTGACTCTTATATTCTTTCTGTCCCCTCTTCCCTCATGTTCTCTGAGCCTGGTAGCAATGTCCTGTTCAGGGCTGAGCACTCAATGGTCACTTATTCTCAGCATCCTGAGCAGCCATAAGAATCTGCATTCACCACCATTCACTGTTCGGATAGGGCTGGCAGGGCACTGAAGTGTGCTTCATGCTTTTTGTTTCAATACAGTATTTATGAAGTGAACTGTTCTCATTATTCAGATAAGGAAAGTGATTCCTAGAGAGCAACATGCTCAAGATCAAAAAACCGCTTTTGGTCTAGCCTTCTTTTTATAACTCTACCATGGCCAAAATGAACGAGATCTAGTCCTTGCCTTCAAGGAGCTTATAGTTTGGTAAGAGAGACACATTTTGGACTTCTATGTGTATGTTTTACTAAAAGCATGAAGTCATGGGAAGAAAAGATGATTAACAACTGATGGGTTTGAGGACAATTTCATAAGAGAAATAACATTAATGCTGGACCTTGAAAAGGGGATTCAAGTTTGGTGAAGGCTACTGAAGAAAGAAGACTGATCAGAGAAGTGCAAAGAAAAGGAGCCCGAGATATATGCTGGGGACAGGGAAGTCCCTGACATGGCTGAAATGTCCTTTAGTCAAGCACAGATGAGGGTGGGCAGGTGGGTTGAGTGCAGACTTAGGAATCAACCTGAGTTCCAAAGACAGTGGGAAAGTCTCCAAGGTTCCTAAGCAGGAGATAGGCACTTCCAGAAATCATTAGTGATGTATCAACAATGCGAGTAAATGAAGAAAGATGGGGGAAAGGGAAAGAAGTCAACAGTGCAGATTGGGTCAGGTAGTGAGATGAAAAGTGGATGGGAGAGAAGGGGGAAAACACGCCTGTAGCTCTGCATCCTCAACATTGCTTGTGTGTCTCTTCTTACAGATGCCAGAGACAACAAAACAGTATCAACCTCTTACAGTCTTAGTTAGCATCCATAACTCCCTAGATTCCCCCATGAAGAACTGCACCATCTCCATTTTCGGAAGGGGGCTCGTTTATAGAGAGAGGAGATACAGGTAAGAGACTGTAAGCTTCTCATCCCATTGAAAGATCTCAAATGTTCAGAACTGATTGACTTAAAAATAATAACTCATCTTTGTGTCATGTATATAAAGACAGAGCAAATAACCCCAGAAGTTGAATGAAAGGATTAGGGCTACCAAATGGTCTATCTCATTCTAGAATCGTGTCAACAGGGGGTAAGGGGATAAGGGAGATTGTGTGAGTCCCACATACCCCCCACCTCATCTGAGTTACTGGTCATTAGGAAGAGCCTAGGTATTCTTGGTGAAGAAGAGAAGTTAGGTCTGAGTAAAAATGTACTGTTGTTGTCGAACAGACAAGAGGACAGAGATGCAGGAAGCAGGTTTTTTAGGCTGCAGTCTGGTCCAGAGGACTTAAGTCTCAAAGTCTGAACCCCAAAAAGAAGAAGCATTCCTCTTTTATACCTTAGGCAGTGAGTTACAGTGAGAAGGAAGCTTATATACAGTCTCAGAATTAGGCAAATTATTATAAATTTAGAAAGAAAACAAATGTTAAGAAATCTTCTGTCAGGGCTGAAGAGATGGCTCAGCGGTTAAGAGCACTAACTGCTCTTACAGAAGACCTGGGTTTAAATCCCAGCACCCACATAGCAGCTAACAATGTTGTGTTCCAGGGGATCTGACGCCCTCTTCTGCCCTCCTTGGGTACTGCATGGCACAGGTGTACTTAACACACATGCAGGCATAACACTCATATACATAAAAATAAAATTTAAAAAGAAATTTTAATTCTAAAAAAAAATCCTCTGTCTGAAAACCATTGTAGAAGTCTCCATCTGAGACAAACAGAATTGAGGAAATTTCATCAGGACACAGGCCAGTGGTTCTAGCTGTGTCAGCATTCTAGCCACTAACTTGTCAGCTGAAATTTGCTGACAGAGACGGAGGGAGAGAAAAAGAATTAAAATCCATATTTTCTTAACTATTCCATTTAGCTACATCACTGATACTTCATGAGTTTGTATTTTTAACTTACATAGATGTTATGTCGCCTGTTCTTTCATGCATACATGAAGTCAGTTTTTTTTACTACATAATGCTGCACTGTGCACATCAACTATTTCCTACCACTCCATAGTAATAGGCAACAACCACCTCCAACTCTCTGATTCCACAAATAGTGTTATATTTAACAGCCTCCCTTTTCTTTGCCTGTTTGAAACTTTGGTGATATCAGAGGTTTATGTTCCCGGAAATAGAATTGCTGGGTCAGAGGATATGATCTAGTTTGGCCAGGTACTGTTAGATTTATTAGCAGAGTGGCTGTGGAAGGCTACGCTCCCTCTAGCACTACAGGGCACCTTCTGTATTCTATCTACCCTGGCAATATCCAACTGGTTTCTTTCTAGTAGAATTTTTTCCAACAGAAGGCAGTATCTTTCTAGGGTTCTAACTTGCTATTCTCCATGTTGATTACCCCAGTTCCTCCTCTACAGTCATCTTTATCTTTTCCTACTTTTCTTTCCTTGTTCCTGTCATCATTTCTTGTTGATTTTTTTAAGTTCCCATGTAGTCTAGGTCCCTTACTGGTTTTAGATGTTACATGCATTTTGTCCACTGCATCCTTTATTGTCTACACAGTATATGTAGTTTAAAGTTCAGGATACAGTGCCAGCCATCACTGAGGTCCAATGTGGCAGGTCCAATTACTGAACCACTGCCTCAGCCTCGTGAAATTCAGTCATTCTTGCCAATAAAACAAGAAGTGAGACTGCCAACATTTTACTAGGCTTTATGATCTTCCAGACCAGTTGTGGAGGAAAGGTCCTCAAAGGAAATCAAACATTGCCTCAGTCACTAAATGCTCTACAGCAGTCCAGAAAGCCCAGGTACTACCTGCCAACACATTAGCATCCCCTTAATATGTCTCTGTACTTATCAGTGAAAGATCTAAAAGTATAATGTTTGCCAAACATACTCCCAGTACTGTACCAAGTACCAAACCAGACTGAACCACGTGCTAAAAGAAGCACCAGGTGCAGGGAGAGCACTCAGCAGTTGCTCAGCAGAGAGAAGCTCCTGTCTTCCCTCTCTGGCCACGTCTGGCTTCCCAGCACAGTACTCAGATTTCTATCTCTTCGTGCTCTGCCTCTTAGACAAAGAACTGAGATCAACAGAGCAATGAACCTGGGAGAGAATTAACACCTGTCTCTACCTTTATTTCAGATTAGGTTCTGTGTGGCCAGGAACCATCTTGTGTACCCAGTTCCAGTTCACACCAACACATCTGGGGCTCCAGAGGCTCACTGTGGAAGTTGATTGTGACATGTTCCAGAATCTAACCAGCCACAGAAGTGTCACTGTGGTAGCCCCTGAATTTGCATCTTAAACTTGCAGTTTAGTCACCACTGTCCCCAAACAACCTGTGAAACCACATTCTAAAACAGACATGTTCTCCAGAGGGAAACTCTGCCTATCAAACAGATGAGTCTTCATTAAGGCTGAACAGAACAGTGACTAAGAACAAAGCTAGATTCCCAGAAATCAATATTCATTTTTGTCATGCCAACTTCAGACAGCCAGGAATACCATTTGTCCTAGAATAAACTACTGAGCTTGAGTGACAAAACAAAGCTCTAAAAAGATACTCAGCTTTTCAAAGTGCAATTATATATTTTGACTACGTTTTCAGAATACATTCAGATTTGTGGAGTTCAGATGTTTCACATTTCATTGCTTTTTCATTCATTTATTCATTAACTTGCAGGTTAATTCTTCATTTCTAATGACATAGAATAATATTAACTAAAAATAGAATTTAAAAATACTAAAATTATATTGATTAATACTATCCATGACCATTATTGTTAACAACGCAAACAAGACTGAATAGAGTTATAATAACACAAAACATGGAACCCGAGAGAATAATCTACTTTACTTAA